TTCGGCAGAGCGTGGGTGTTTAATGACCCTAGGGTCAAAGAAAGGGATGCCCGAAGCATCCAGTCTGACTCGGGTTCCATAGATTTTGTGTTTTTGGATTCGGGAACGTCAATATAAGTTTTCTTGACAAATTCGGATATGGGGTCTTGTAGCGCATTCGCTGATGACTAACCATCTGAATAGCCAAGAAAGAAATTGTCTGTCATGGATATATCAGCCTGTGTGAGGCGAGAGACAGATAATTTTGGGGCTTTGGCGGGGGTCTTGCCCACAGACTTACTATCCCCTTTCCAGGGGCGTTTGTGTGATCTCTCTTCCAGATCCGAAGGTTGGGAGTCCTTGGAATCTGAGGGCAATCGTACAGTGGGGTTAGCCTCTGTAGAGGACTTTTCATGAAAAGCTGCTAGAGCCTTTGGGATTGATTCAGCAATTGTAGACATGAGCCAGGAACAAAGTTCCTGAGAAATAGCGGGCTCAGAATGGTCAGACATTTTATGCTTGTTGGTATTAAGTTGAGAAACAGGCAGTATGCGATATAATGGGGGTCACTCACTAGTTTATATAAGAAAAATGAAATGCGGCACTTGTAATTAGTGGGATTAACCACTGGTTTATTGTGAGTGGGTTTAGCCACTATTAATAACTGCAGTATGGTTAACTGCAAATATAAGTGTATGTGCGTATACACTGAATAATTATATATGTGGGATTACCACTTTAAAAAATATTAGTGAAGTAAATTATAGGTAATAAGAAAATAGTGGGGTTCAACCACAGTAAGTATAACAATTCTGTAAGGTACTTGAATGCACATAAAAGGTGGGGTTTACCCACAATGTTATCATACACAATGGAGTAGTATAAGGTGGGGGTCACCCACAATAATACACAGAGTTAATGTATATAAGTGGGGGTCACCCACAAAAGCCCTCCTTTATTTGTAAATAAATGCAAGCAGAGTATTGTAACAGAGATCTGTTGATAGAAGAAAAAAACAAAACAAAAAATTAGCAAAAAGGGAAATATTTCTTTAATTGAAGTAAAACACAAAATTGTGCTTCGGAAAGGCTGAAAAACTTTCCTTGAGAGCCGTTAGAGAAAGCAGCTCCGACCGTTGCTCCGACGTTCCGACAGCCGAAAAGGGAAGGAAGCACAAATGAAGATGGCCACCGTCAATCTGAGGGTGGAGAGAAGCACGTCATAGGAGACGTGGGAAAAGGCAGGAAACTGTTTGTCGGCATGACGCGAGTGCTGCAGTTCTAAAATAGCCGCGGCCTCTTGGTTAAATAGAGACCGCGGCTGAGGCGGAATTGGGTCGCGGTCTCTGTATAAACAGAGAGCCGCAATCAAAATTACTCACAAGGGGTCCGAGAGAACGGAGCCTGAAAAGGACCGTCAAATTAAAGGGGAAATGTGAGATAAAGCCATTTAGGTAGAACTAAGTGAAATGTAAAGGACAGAGTGGTAAAATAAAGTAGCTCACAACAAAATGTGACAAAAACTAGTGATATGTATAAATTAATATACACATTAATAAACAACTGGGAAAGGAATATAATTGGAGTAGACTCACCTGGGAGGCAAGCAGCAAAGAAAGAGGAATTGGGAGGAGCTAAATGACACTATATTCTATGACTGTACACTATGATTGGTTAAAAAAATTTCTCACTACTGTTAACTGTTTCTTTGCTGCTGCGAGGTTCAGTAAAGAAAGATAAGCAAATATGAAGCCTCCTGTCTTGCCATAAAATTGAGACCAACTGTCACAAGAGTGCTGTAATGAAAAGGGTACAGATGACATCACAAAACCTGTAATAGACTAATATTAAATAGATGTTTAAAAAATTGTGCATTGGTCCTCAGGACACTTGGGAAAGTAGGATGCAGGTGTACAACTTTCCCTCTATGTCCCACAGCATGTAGGATGTGCAGCAGTGAAGGATGGTCCATAGGGGCATGTGGAGTAGCGTCCCCCAGATATTGTTGTGTCACCTTTAAGTGCTTAGCTTGCTCTAACAGATAAATAACCCTCACATGTTAACAAGTTAACAATAATTTGCGAACGTGAATCCTGCTAAATGCAGTTGGTCCTTATTCAATTTATAATCAGTGCTTTGTGAACATTCCAAATCTTGTTTGTACTTTGTATAGGAATCTGATTCATCGATTTTAATCCAGACACTGAACGCAAAATTTAGATTTTCAGCTTTACTGCTGAAGAAACATGTCATTAGATGGATGGTTAGACAAAAAGAAGAGTATTACTCTATTAATTTCCTATTACATGCTAGAAACCAATGAGGTTTTTTTAAATGTAATTATTTTTTCATTGTGGCCTACAAGCAAATCAAAAGCACAATGAGCTCATATAAAAATAAAACGAAAATGCTCCAGTCTAATGGGTTTCCCCCTCACCTCTCTTCCCTCTCTCCACACCCTTTCTCTTTTTTCCAGTTATATAGGCCAACCAGGACTGAAAAAGCAAGCAAGGAAACACCAAACTTGTCACATTTTTCAATCTTATAAATGAAAAGAAAACTCAATAAACCATGTTTTAACAGAAAAACATTTTTATTGAAAAATGTAACAAGTTTGGTGTTTTCTTGCTTGCTTTTTCAGCCCTGGTTGGCCTGTATAACTCTTGTCCTAAATAAATAATATGTTGAAAAAAATCTCAAATCTGTAAATGTGTTTGCGTCTCAGTATATCCATGATTTATTGACCACCCTCACACTCCAACCCTTGACTGAACCATTCCATATCTGAGTTTATACCAATATAAAATTATACAATATAGTGGAACCTCAGAACTCGAACTTAATCCATTCCAGAAGGCTGTTTGCAGTGTTAATTTTGGCGGCAAGTTTCAATGTAGTTTTAGTCATAGTTTTTCGTCTAAAAAGCCATTTTTTTTTTTAGTCATATTTTGGCCATCTGAATTGTGTCCAGTAGACTTTAGTCGACATGTCTAAAATCTAATGGGTTTAGTTAAAGTTTCTATGTGCCTTTTTTCCCCTTCCTCAGCACCTCGTTGTCTCTTTGTATCCTCCCAGCTCCTCTAAGTGTCTCTCTCCCAAGCCTTGGTCTGTCTCCTTTGCCCCTTCCACAGCCCCTCTGTGCAGTGTTAATTTTGGTGGAAAATTCCAATTTAGTTTTAGTCATAGTCTTTTGACTAAAATGCCATTTTAGTTTTAGTCATATTTTAGTCATCTGAGTTGTCTTAGTTTTAGTTGACTAAATTTCACAAATTTTAGTCGACTAAAATGTGACTAAAATTGTTAGTTGACAAATTAACACTGACTGTTTGAGAACCGATTTGTTAGATTAATCCGTTCTAGATCCCCAAAATTACAGCATTTTAACACAAATTTCACAGTTTAATAATACCTTACATGCATTAAAGTCTAAATAAAAATAATAAACACAATGTAAATGAAATGAAAATGTAACTTCATTTTACCTGTCAGCTCTGTTTGCTGACAGAATGGAGCTGTTTGCTGACATAATGGAGTTTTCTTTCTCTAGTGCTAGGAGCCCGATGCATCATACCAACAAGGTTTCAACGTGGTACCAATGAAGTTAATACCATGTGATTTGTTTGGGTACCGAGTTTTGTTCTCGTACAGAGACATTTTTTTCTCTAATTTTATGTTTATATACCAAATTATTCAGGTAAGGGAGCATTCCAGTTCCACTGTTTTTAGTAAAATTCCTTAGTCAATGTCAAGCATTCCTGCAAAGTTTAAAGGGACAAGCATCACTTGACATATTTTTGAAACCAGAAAATACTTTTAAACAAATATACTTTAACATAGGCAGGGCCGGCCTTAGGCCTTTAGACGCCCTGTGCGAAAAATATTCACAGCGCCCCTTCATGGTCACATGCCCTTGTCCATCATTAAAAAGTGCTAAGCCTCCATGACATAGGTGTGACTTGTTAATGTGATTTTTGGCCATATCATGCATATACACATATATTAATACATTTGTAAATATTATAGGCGTAATAACACATATAATAATAATAATACACCCATACTAATATACATGTATATATAAATATTACTCTCAAAAATCATGTTAAATTGTACTTAATACGGTACACACAATTTCTGGTCTTTTTAAAGAGCAGAAAATTCTAGATATATATGGGCTAGAAGAATTCCTCCCACATTATTATTATTATTATTATTATTATTATTATTATTATTATTATTATTGCCATTTATAGAGCACCTATAAATAGGACAATTACAAAAAACTTACGGGAACAATAGGTTGAAGAGGACTCTGCTCAGTCGAGCTTATATTCTACAGGACGTGGGGTGTAAAACACATTAGGACAGGAATTTGCAATCAAATAAGGTGGGATGCCCTTTAGGAGAGAGCAAGAGACATGTATGTGAGGTAGAGGTTAGTCTTGGAGGCCATAAGCTTTCCTAAAGAGATGGGTTTTAAGGCACTTCTTAAAATATGCAGGACAAGTGGAGAGTCTGATGGCGGTAGGCAGGCTATTCCATAGGAAGGGAGCCGCCTGCGAGAAGTCCTGCAAGCGTGAGTTGGCCATACGGGTGCAGACAACGGACAGGAGGTGGTCACGGGCAGAGCAGAGAGTCCGAGGAGGGACATACCTAACTATCTGTGAGGACATATAAGAGGGGCTAGAGTTGTTCAGTGCTTTATAGGTGTGAATAAGTACCTTGAATTGACTCCTATAGTAGACAGGAAGCCAATGTAAGGACTGGCAGAGAGGTGAGGTGTGAGAAAAACAACTGGAGAGGAAAATCAGTCTGGCAGCAGCGTTCATTATGGACTGTAGTGGTGTAGTACGGCTTTTGGGAAGACCAATCAGGAGAGGGTTACAATAATCCATGCGGGAAATTACTAGAGCATGGACAAGCTCCTTGGTAGCATCTTGCATAAGAAAGGGGTGGATGCGGCTATGTTTTTAAGATGGAATCTACATGATTTGGCAACATGCTGGATGTGAGGCTCAAAGGTGAGGCCAGAATCAAGTATGATGCCAAGACAGCGCGCTTGCAAGGATGGACTGATGTGGGTACCACAAACTTGAAGGGAGAGCGAAAGAGGAGGATCAGTATTAGGAGGAGGAAAGACAAGGAGCTCAGTTTTAGAGAGATTGAGTTTCAGAAAGCGGAAGGACATCCAGTCAGAGATGGAAGAAAGGCAAGCAGTGACACGTTGCAGGACGGCAGGGGAGAGGTCCGGGAAGGAGAGATATAACTGGGTGTCATCAGCGTACAGGTGGTAGTGGAATCCAAAAGAGGTAAAAAGTTTGCCAAGAGAGGCAGTATAAAGAGAAAATAGAAGGGGACCAAGGACAGAGCCTTGGGGGACTCCAACCAAGACAGGACGAGGGGAGGAGGTATCATTAGAAAAGGAGACAATGAATGAGTGTTGGGAGAGATAAGAGGAAAACCAGGAGAGGACAGAGTCACAGACACCAAGTGATTGAAGAGTTTGAAGAAGTAGAGCATGATCAACGATGTCAAAGGCCACAGAGAGGTCAAGAAGAATTAGTATGGAGTAGTGGCCTTTGGATTTAGCTCCAATTAAGTCGTTAGTAACTTTGATAAGTGCAGTCTCAGTAGAGTGGAGAGGGCGGAAGCCAGATAGAAGGGGGTCAAGGAGAGAGTTGGAAATGAGGAAATGAGACACACGGGTAAAGACAAGTCTTTCCAGAAGCTTTGAGGAAAAAGGGAGCAGGGATATGGGACGATAGTTAGAGGGGGTGGACGGGTCGAGATATTTTTTTTTAGTATAGGTACTACAGTAGCATGTTTAAGGTCAGCAGGGACAATGCCAGAAGAGAGAGAGAACAGTTGAAGATGTGCGTTAAGGAAGGCACAAGACAAGTGGAGAGAGATCTAATAAGGTGAGATGGAACAGGATCAAGCGGGCAAGTGGTGGGGCTAGAGGAAAAGAAAAGAGCAGCCACCTCTTGGTCAGTAGCCGGAGAGAATGTCTGAAGGGTAGGAAAGCCGTGATCTATGTGTGGTTGAGAAACAGAATGGCAAGGAGGGGAGAGTTCTTTCCTGTCAGTAAAGTAACATCTTGTAAGCAAAGTTATCAGCAGTAAGGTTAGCTTGGGGGGTGGCCACAGCAGGGCGAAGAAGAGAATTAAAGGTGTCAAAGAGATGCCTGGCATTGCGGGAGCATGAATTAATGAGAGAGGAAAAGTAGGACTCTTTGGCAAGGGCAAGGGCTGCGCTGTATGAACATAATCTGAATCTATAATGGAGAAAGTCTGACTGGGTGCGAGACTTCCTCCAGGAGAGTTCAGCACAATGGGAGCATCTTTGCAGGTAGCGTGTTGATTTAGTATGCCATGGTTGGGGGCGGGTCCTCCTCGAGGTGCTTGTTTGGAGCGGTGCTGCAGCGTTCAAGGCAGAGGTGAGGGTAGTGTTTATATGCGGAGATGGCCAGTAAAGGACAGGAGAGGAAAGGGATGGACAACAGTCGTGAATCAATATCAGCTGACAACTGCTGGAGATCAAGAGAATTATGGTCCCTCCCGAGTTGAGGGGGGTTAGGCTGAGGTTGTTGGGTGAGGCGGTACACAAGAGCAAATGATAAGAGGTGGTGATCAGAGAGAGGAAATGGAGTATAGATTTGGGAAAACCAAACCTATGTGAATGAACACTCTAGCATTAGGAGTAAAAACGTATTTCTAACAAGAGTGTCCTGTCTCCCTTAAGTTGCCATGCCATTATGTTGTGTGTGGAATAGGGATGCAGTGTGTGTAGAGAAAACAGTGTGGTGTGGGATACTTAATTAAAATCCCTTATCTCAGCAAAAAAATATGGGTATTCAGCTCTACTATATGGCTATTCTTCAATACCCCGATATCGGTGAGTCCTACACAAATTTTAACATGGGAGATAAATTAAATAAGGAAATATTGAGAGAATTAGCAAGCTTCAATATAACATTTTAAATAAGATATAATTATTATTGCTCAAAACATCATGACCAAAGAAGATTACATTTAAAAACTGTAACATTTACTAAGGATATCTCTATGACGTTTCTTTATAAATCGGATTGGAAAAATCAAGCTGGTCAATACTTATCTATAAATTTCATGCAAAAAGAAAAGGGTCTAAGTGCTCTCTATATGGTGAGCTCTAAGTAGTAGTGAGCTCTACTTCTCTCGAACACCTATTTAATATATAAAATTAATGTGACATTGCATTATTTGTTTTTTTCTGTTTTGAGAATTCTTTATTGAATATCTACAACTGCTTACTCAAGTTGTAGGCATAAACGTATGTATACATATATATTTTATATATGAAGGGCACTTTAAAAAAAACCAGTGTTTAATTTTGGTTTTGCGCGCGGTTTATCATCTATAAATCGGGCCAGTCTGGCCAGGTCGGTGCCTCCAGTAGTCCTTTTCTGCAATGCAAGATTTGTTTGAATCTTATTTATGTGCTCTTACGTCAGTTATTTTCCGTCCTTTGCTTTTAACTTTCTGCATTGTGTAAACTTTCCCAAGTGATTATTTTTAGTAATTGTGTTTTTTTTAAAGTCACTGTCAAAATAAACATAATATTGGCACTTTACCATCATCCAGAGCTTCTAGCTTGGGATCGCTGAATTTGTCAAATTTTTTATGACATAATATTTTCATGTTTTCTACTTTAATTTTTCAAATTAGATTTCTAAAGAAATGTCATAGAGATTTCCTTAGCAAGTGTTAAACAGTTTTTACATGTTATCTTCTGTAGTGATGATGTTTTGAGCAATAATAATTATATATTTGTTATACATTGATATTAAAAACAGCTATTTTTCTCAATTTTTCTCAATATTTTTCTTCCCTAATCTGTCTCCCATGTTAACCTTAGTGTAGGACCCACTGATATTGTGATACTGTGGTGTAGTGGTGGGCTTAACACGATATGGTCAGATTGGTGGTCCAGTGGAAGGTGAGCTGCATCCACAGTGGTACAGTGGGAGATCTTTTGAGATGGATGATTTTAAGTGGTCTTGTAAAATGTAAAACTGTATTTTTGTGATTGTACTGTTCCTTAATCTGTATTTTTTATAAACTTACTATAAACTTAGTCAGATTGCATAGTTGGGCATGCCTCCCAGCTAGAAGTTTCTTAAGCCCCCTCCCCCACAAACTAATTCAGTCCAGACCAGTCCGCCACTGACAAAAACAAAACATCATTGTATAGCAGCAGCAAGCTTGTCAGTCTCCCTACACTGACTAACACAACAGGGAGAGAGAAACCAGACACGGGAGCCTACTCTGCGTGAATCACACTGATCTGAATCCATCTCTTCTCCCCCTTTCAGGATTTTGCCAGGTGAAGAGATCTTCCAACTGCAGATATGTGACTATGTCAGGCATGCCCGATGATTTTTGCAGCATTCCTAGGGATAGGACATGGATTGGTTAGATCATTCCCCCCCACTTTCTCCCTTTCTCCTCCCCCCCTGCCAGAGAGGGTTTGGAAAGTATAAGAAAGAAGAAGCAGGTAAATATGAAAACCTGCTACAACTTTTTAATGAGACAGTTGTCTCAAAGTGATGCATGTTGCTTTAAATGCAGGGCTTATTTCCATCTGACTGGCTGTGAGCAATGTGTGTTGCAGGCCAACAATACATGAAGAATGATGCTATGATTTACTCAAACTGGAACATCACTTCATTATGTTAGGTCATACTAGGTAATTCCTAAATGACACTGTCATTTTCTTTTTTATCATTGAAAATATTGCCTTTGTTCATTTAGTTAGAACGTACATTATTTGTCTAGCCACTAATAATGTTCTCCCTTATCCTTTCTCTCTCTCCATTTACTGCCGTTTCCCAGTAGTAATGAATTCACACACTTCATTAGGTGTTAACAAAAAAAAAGGAGAAGCACATTGTTCAGTATACGCTGTCACTTGCTGGATTTTTTTCACAGTGTATGAAATAGAATAGAATTAGCACTCAGAGCAGGAATAGCTAAAAAGGTAACTTTCCAACTATAGAGATAAAACTTTTATGATGCTCTCCCATCCTGTATGTAGTTATGCAACAGCTGTGGCTACTCCTTTCATAGAATATAGATAGAATTAAAGGACCACTCCAAGCACTGTAACACTAGCTCACTGTCAGAGCCGGATTAGGGTTTCTCAGGGCCCTATGCAGGGTGCCAGATTGGTGGTCCAATGCAAGGTGAGCTGGACCCCCAGTGGTCCAGTGGGGGAGCTCCAACATCTGTACCAATAGCAGGTACAGACCACTGTGAGAACTCCTTCACTGCAGTGGCTATGGAGCCAAGAGTACACTGGCAACCCCCAATTGCAAGTAACGTCTTACCAGGGTTACACCAGCCTCGGCTCTCCATCTCCAGTTTAAATGCCTGTGAGACGGAAGTTCTTCTGTTAGCTCATTCCATTAGGAGTGCAGGGATAGTTCGTTGAGTGGGAGCACCAGTTACAGAAGGTTCTAGTGATCATTGGTGTTTACGATCCCACAGGGATACAATCTAACTTTCATAATATGTGCACCCATAGGTTACTGTCCCTAGGTTACTGTCCTGGCACATTTTATTAACTGTGACCATTCCATTTTACAGATGCACTTCCAGATTATCAATTTAGTCAACACTCCTCGAAGGGGATAAACACAAGGCACTCCTCAGGAAAGAGACATTTTGGATATGCACTCTGGAGACTTTGGAACCCAAATGACTCAACAGGGAGTTTAACCTATCGGTATATTATTTCTTCTAAGATTGCAAACTTTATTTAAGACTTCCATTTGTTATATAATGTTCTTTCCTAGATGCCTTCCATAGATTTGATTCCCCATTCATTACCTGTGTATTCTCCCCTTCGGAGAATCAGAATGGATTTACAATATTGTTTATTATATTTATGAACAGTTGTACTTTCATGTATACCTACCTGTCAGTCTCCATGCACTGTAGTACCTACCTGTGGTTGCTTTTCATATTTCCCACGATAAGGATAATTTTGCATGTTCATGGGACCCCTTACTATCTCCAAAATCCCCTGGCATACTCCTTTACTAACACTATCTGGCTTTTATTTTTTATTAGTTATTACAAGCTTGGAGTGGGTCGTGGATAGCCCTTTTGGGATACTTTGATCATGAATGAGTCCAAGCAAATTAATGGTTCTAGAACCACTCTCTAACCCCTGGACCTGGCAGCTGCCTATGGTCACCTTATAGTCAATTCTGCTCTG